ATTGATGTATGCTGTGTTTCAGAAACACGCATACAAGACCCAAGTGTGGTTATTCACCTAACCCCACCTGGCCAACAGGTTGAATCTGCAAAATTCACCTTGAGGGTGTCAGGAGATGCCACAGCTAGTTCACGAGGATTAGCTGGCGTAGGGATAGCTTTGAGTACTAGGGCAGAAAAGACATTGCTTGACTGGATCCCGGTAGATAGCCGAATGTGTGCTGTCCGCCTGAACGGATCAGTAAGAAGGAGGAAGGACTGCACTACTCGCCGATGCCTTTTCGTAATCTCCGCCTACGCCCCCACTGACTGCAGTTCAGATGAAACGAAGGATGAGTTCTACCAAAAGCTGTCTAGTTTGGTGGAAAGGCTAAACGCTCAGACATAGTCGTTCTAGCTGGTGACTTTAACGCTCAAGTAGGGAAATTGTGTCAATCTGAGAAGGATGTCGGTGGCACCTATGGAGTTCCGTGCCAGCGAACCGACAACGGTGACCGTCTCCTACAGTTCTGCTCTGATAATCATTTGTTTCTTGTAAGCACTAACTTTAAACACAAGGAGAGACACTGTTTGACTTGGAGACCCCCTTCATCAAACCAACGCTGGACACAAATAGACCACATAGCAATAAGCTATCGTTGGCGTGGGTCGGTAGGAGATTGTCGCTCCTTCTGGAACACGTGCGTAGATACCGACCATGCACTGGTCCGCGCTCGGGTGTGCTTACGACTGAACGGACGTAGGAAACAGCTGGCGGTAAAACCATCACGTCCCCAGCTCGATCAGGAAACTAAATCCGTATTTCAGGAAGAACTAGCTAAACACATATCTGTGTTCGACAGCTGTGCTCACCCTGAAGAAGCTTGGAAAAATATCCAGGCAGCCATAGATACAGCTGTAAAAGCTGTGAATAAGGTAAACCCAAAGGTGAGTAAAAACCACTGGATCTCCACCGCCTCATCCGAACTGATAGATGCTAGAAGACTTATTCCGGCGAGCTCCGAATTCAATGAGGAGCGAAAGCTGCACAAGAGGAAACTTACGAAAAGTCTCCGCAAGGACCGTGAACAGTGGTGGGCGACAAAAGCCAAAGAGATGGAGAAAGCTTTGAGGATAGGCAACACCAGGCAACTCTTTGGACTCATCAGGGAAACGGGTGGGAGAAGACAAATCATTAGTGAGACAATCTCGGAAAAAAATGGCACTATAATTAGCTCCAGGATAGACGACTGGATCGTTGGAAAGAGCATTATGAGGAGCAGTTTAATTTGCCCACAGCCACGCTCAACCTTCCGAGCATCCAACACCTCCCTGAATGGGATATAGACACAGGTCCTCCGTCACTAACTGAGGTTACTAAAGCTGTCACCAATCTGAAACTAGGCAAAGCAGCGGGACCTGATGGAATGACTCCAGAGGTATTTAAGTACGGTGGAGACAGCTTACTGTCCGGATTAACTGAGGTACTAGGCAGCGTCTGGGAATCAGAAGAAGTCCCATCGGGTTGGTGTAAGTCACTGATTATCCCCATATACAAGAAGGGAGACAAGTCTTCCTGTGATAATCACAGAGGGATTAGCTTGACTAATATAGTATCTAAAGTCTTAGGCTCAATAATCATGCGTAGACTGAGTGGTGCTCGGGAAGCACAAACACGAGAGAGCCAGGCAGGCTTTAGACCAGGAAGAGGGTGTATTGATCATATCTTCACCCTCCGACAGATTCTAGAACATAGGCATTCCTACCGGCGTCCAACAGTCATTATATTTCTTGACCTAAAGGCAGCATTCGACTCTGTCGATCGGGAAGTTCTCTGGAGATGCTTGGCTGTAAAGGGAATTCCGAGAAAATATATTGCACTGATTAAGGCACTCTATTCGTACTCATACAGCCAGGTGAGGGCTTACGGCGAGCTGTCATCTGAACTGATGACGACCAGTGGTGTCCGTCAAGGATGCCCATTATCTCCTTTTCTATTCAACTTCATCATAGATGTGTTAATGGACTTAACCCTAGGTGACTTCAGCGACTCAGGGATTGACTTGCTACCCGGGAATAATCTCGTTGACTTGGAATATGCAGACGATATAGTCCTTCTAGGCGAAGACGCTGACGAAATGCAGAGTCTTCTAAACACCTTGAGTCCCAATCTACGAATGTTTGGCATGCGATTCGCTCCCGCCAAATGCAAGATGATGTTACAGGACTGGACTACATCGACGCCTAGTTTAAAAATAGGAAGTGAAGTGGTAGAGCACGTTGACCGCTTCACTTATTTGGGAAGTACCATCAGCCCCAACGGGCTGATCTCTGACGAAATCTCAGCACGAATACAAGGGGCTCGTTTCGCATTTGTTAGTTTACGCCGACTCTGGCGTAGACGAGATGTTCGACTATCGACCAAAGGGCGGGTGTACTGCTCATCAGTCCGCTCCGTCCTCCTTTATGGTTGTGAGACCTGGCCACTGAGAGTGGAAGACATGAAAAGACTAGCTGTCTTTGATCATAGGTGCCTGCGTTCTATTTCCCGTGTAAAGTGGCATAATAAGGTGAGCAACATGGAGGTTAGGCGTAGAGTTCTAGGTAAACAGGGGAAATCAATCGACGAAGTCGTGAAGCTACAAAGACTGAGATGGTTAGGACATGTGTTACGTATGCCAAGCCATCGCCTCCCTCGACGAGCAATGTTAGCGGATATAGGGTCAGGCTGGAAAAAAGCTAGCGGCGGTCAAACAAAAACTTGGCATCAGTCAATGAAATCCACAACAGTTGGTCTAAGCCACGTAGGAAGGTGTAGACTTCCAGGCTGGGGTCCTCGGGACGGTAAAAATCTATGGTTGGAAACAATTGGTGACATGGCTCAAAATCGTTCTCAGTGGCGCAGATGCATCCACTCCCTGTGACTTATGATCTTCAATGAAACTGTTTTGTATTTCTTTATTACTCCTTTGTCTCACACCTCTGCTCACTGTTTCTATTATGCTTTTCTTGTACTTTCTTCTCTTGCTTCGCGTGCTACACGGAATGTGGCGACTTGAACTTCCGCACATTTGTGCAAAGTTCTATGTCGAAAACAGACAGATTGATCTATAAGGCTCTCTACATTGATTCCTAACAAAATTCTGTAAGCAGAAGTGTAACAACGGAAGTCAAGGGCCAGGCTACATATAGTCTATTAAGGAAATCAACACATATTTATAGATTCTCATGTACATATTATAGATTACTGTCAGCAGAAAAACACGGTCTTCTGATTGATTGTTTCTCACTGAAAGTTAATCTTTCATCTCTTTGTGGCTGTTTCTCGAATGTCACATCGTCTACAAGCTAATTGAATCCGCCTAAGCACAAAGTCTGCAGGGATCAGGAAAGGCAAACCATGTTCTGACCAAACTGCAACTCTACGCATCACCATTAGAGAACAAAGCATGGAATGGCAATCAAACCTCTACCTTAACTTCATAGACTTTGAGAAGACCTTCGAAAGCGTTTACCACGAAGTAATTTGGAAACTACTCGAGTACTACAGCGTACCCCCAACATTCATCAACCTTATTCAACATCTGTACAACAACGGAAAACTCGGAGGCGTTTGGACTAAACACAGGAGTCAAACAAGGGTGCTTATTACCACCAATGATATTCCTAATTGTGGTGGACTGATTGCAGTATGCGTCAGAGAGTGGGAAACGAGAAGACAGGGATAACCTGGACCAACGTGAAGAACCTAGAAGACCTGGATTTCGCGCGTGGATGATTTATGTTTGATGTCACACAAAATCGAAGACTTACAAGCGAGCGAAAACCGACAAACTGGTCGAAGAAGCAGCCGGTGAAGACAGAACTCCAAGTGAACATAGACAAGACGGAGGTTGTGAAAATAACCAACTAACAACAACAACAACGGCAGCAACATCTAGCCAGTAGCCAATCACCATCAACAGGAGGAATTTGAAAGAGGTCACTTCATTCATTCACTTATCTAGAGAGCATTGTCTCAACTACAGGAAGTCGGAACGGACGACGATGTCAAATCGAGCGAGAATGAGGAAGGCGAGAAACACATAATTCATCAACCTGAAACCAATCGGGAAATCGTCACTCAGCTAGCATCAACAAAATTCAGTCGGTTTGATTTTCAATACAAACAACGTCAAGTCAGTCAGTTCTTCTATACTGATCGGATCAGAAACTTGGCGGGCGGGCGGGCGGGTGACAAAGAATATTTCCAACGGACTATTACAGACTTTTATCAACAACTAACTGTCTTCGCTCTATACTAAATGAAGATCAGATGGCCGGGTCGGAAAGAATCACCAACAAGAAACTATGGGAAGAAACAAAACAAAATAAGAACAAATCGCCAACTAACAAATATGCAGGAGAAAGTGGAGATGGATTGGACACTCGCTGAGGAGGCCACTGGGTGACATCGCGCCCACGTCAGGCCATTTCTCGAGTGGGACGTTAGTGCGAGGGTGGCATGGAGGAGATCGTGTGAAGTGGAGTTGAAACAGTATGGACTAACTAACATGGATGCAGGTGAAAAGTACAGCAGAAGGAAGACAGAAGCAAGTGGAGGGAAGCGTGCAGTTGAAGTCCTATGTTCCACTAGGAACCCAAGGGAACAATAATAATAATACGCAAAGTCTGCCATGATTGGTTGTTGAGTCAATCTTTGTTCTTATTTTTCTTATGACTAATATTGGGGACGTACACACTGACGTCAATTACTGCCTACCAATTTGGCTAGCAGACAGCCCTCACCACAGAATGAACTAGTCATGGATGTAATGACAATTTGTTGTTGATAATCCCATCAACTATGTTATCCAATAAAACTAACCGTGAGTCAATCAATCATCACTGCTCGTATATATATATATATATATATATATATATATATATAAATCAATTTTCACTAGACGACAGTAAAGCGTTTATTATTTAGTTCTACCAAAAAAATAAGCGAGGAAATAATTAACCGTAAAGGGCACTCACCTATCACTGGATCATCATACAGTGGAAGTTTTGCCAATGAACACTTTTGAATAAGATGACTGGTTGCTCTACGAATCAACTCACCACTTAAGCCACGAAATTTGTTTTTTTGTATTAACTAAGCACAGGGAAATAGAGAGAAAAAGATACACTATAAGAATGTTCTATATTATAACCGTCTATTCGGTAATAGTAATAATAATAATAATAATAAGGTACACGAAAACGGAAGAGACAAGGTGTTGGAGCGTAAAACCCTATAAAACTGGATACAGCTTTTTGTAGAGGGTTTGTGTATCTGGGTAGTTGTGTGAGTGCTGGCGGAGGGGTGACGGATGAGATTTCCAACCGTATCATGAAGGGTGGCATACATCAACTTGATCCACCTCTGGCGCCATCGCGACGTTAGCCTGGCTGTCAAAGGTCGGGTATACAATGCTTCGGTGCGGGCTGTCTCGCTCTACGCTAGGCCTGTGAAACCTGGCCTCTCCGAGTAGGCTGAGGATGTTCGGCGACTCTGCGTGTTCGATCGTCGCTGTCTCCGCAGGATTGCTTGTGTCCATTGGTATCATCGCGTGAGTAATTCTGAGGTTCGGCGGTGTGTGTTTAAACACAGTGAAGATCACCATTCATTGAGTGTCGTCATTTGGAAACACCGGCTCCGGTGGCTTGGACATGTGCTGAGAATGTCATCCCAGAAGCTTCCGTACAGGTCTCTATTCGCTAGCTAGCCCTGAGACGGGATTGAAAAGGCGTGGTCAGTCCATGACGTGGCGTCGTGGGATGAAGGATGTTTGTGGTAGATTAGCATCGGTTGGTTGGTTCCTGGTTGGGTTCCGCGAGATAGCTCGAAATGTTATCTGATATGGCCAAGAATCGTAATCAATGGCGAACGTGTTGCAATTTCTTTCTTTCTTTCCTTCCTGATGATAGTTAACGAATACTGTTTGAACTTGCGCACTAGCATCTAGCTATAGTGCTAGAAAGTGCATGTAGTGCTATAACTGAGCTTTTTTCTAGATTTCTTGTCTTACTACAGTCTATTAGCGTAGATATGACCAGACGTTTTTTTCCTCTGCTAATCTCACTGACGTCTGCCTATTACTTGGAGCTGTGTGGTGTATCTGACCTCGCAGCCATTGCAAGGTATTAAGTAAATTAAATTATTTTGTTTACTATGCTCCATAGGATCTTACATCTGAAATAATTTATTTCCAAGTGTCTTTTTGTGTCTTTAAATACCACTATTATTCTTGCCTTGTCCAGAATCCTATGCAATATGTACAAGAAGTTCCCCCCCCCACACACACACACTTTTTTATCGAATCAACTGCAAACATGCGCGTAATAGAAATGATTCAACATTTATCCTGGACATGTAGAAAGTTCTACTACCCTTAACAACCAGTAGGAAGAATGAATGACAACTGTAAAAGTAAAGTTTCAAAGTTGTGTATGCTTATGACAAACGTCATCCAGTAAATAATAATAATAATACCGCTTCACAGTGTGTGACACATTTAATAAACAAATTATTAAGGGATTATGTACTATCACAGTAACCAAGTTTTACACATATGTACCAAATCCTATTTGCAAAATTATTACTCCCACAGTGGAAAACGTCAAACAAAGCTTTAAGACTATCTTTGTATTCTTGATGATGAAAATGCATATAAGAATATCAAACCGATTGGGTCACAAATCCCAAAACTATACGGACGAATTAAAATACACAAACCAGGAGCGCCGTTAAAACTCATACTCTCTATGATAAACAAACCATAACAGAAATTAGCACAGTGGCTATGTGAATTGTTGCAGCCCTTGCGAAAACGTTTCGGAACACATATAGTTTCTGATTCATTTCAGTTTGTGAAGCAAGTTAAAGATTTCAATGTATCTGATAAGAACCTAGTATCTTTCGATGTTACCTTCCTCTCCACAAATGTGCCAATCGTTGAGGCTATTGACTTCATATGTAAAGAAGCTGAGGAAATACGCATTCAAACATCGAAATTGTTGCTTCTGTGTACTAAAAATGTCCAATTCGACGGGCATCTATTCCGTCAAGTTGATGGTGTCGCAATGTGAAGCCCTATGGGACCACTTTTCGCTGACTTATTCTTCTCAGGCCTAGAAACCATTACCTTGTAGCAACATATACAAGAAACGGATGTATACCCAAGGTAGGTTGATGACATTTTTATTGTCTGTGGAAGCAGATCAAAAGCCGAAAACATGTTGATAAAATTCAACTCATGCCATCCAAATCTCAATTTCACAGTAGAACACGAGGAAAACGAATACTATTAAACTCCTAGACGTTTTTCTAGCCAAAATGAATGATGGCACAATTGAAAGATCTATATTTTGAAAGTCTTCATGCACAGGACAGTACATGCATTTCAAGAGCTTTGTTCCAATCCAGTATAAAAAGAACTTAGTCAGAACACTGTTCAATAGAGCACAGAAAATTTGTTCTGACAGTACAATTGAGCATGAAATAACTTCTCCGAAGGATATTTTATCTAACAATGGATATCCTGAAAAGTTCATTATTAAATACTCTAAAGAAACTAGTCCCTGCAAAACAATCCAAACAGTTCCGAAGAAATCTGTCTATATCAGTTTACCGTTTAAAGGAGATGATGTACAGGAAGCAGTCAAACAAAGACTCGATAAAGCCATCAAGAGAACTTATTATACTGCAAAACTTGTTATCCTTAACACCATTAAGCGAGTGCTTCAACAATCTGGGAAAGACCAATTGCCAATCCTGGGCACTTCAAACTGCGTCTTTCTGCATGACTAATTCAATGTAGTCTGTTTACTTATCAGTCTTACATCTCCCAATGTAATTTCACTAGAACATATATATATATATATATCCGTGTATGTAGAGTATTCAGCTGAAGAGGAGTTTTACTGAAATTTGAAAAATTCGTTAAATCATCTTGCTTTATTAACCTTTATTGCTTGTTTTATAGTCTTGATTTACCTGTATCTGGATAAGTTAACAGAGAAAGAAAATCTAGAAACAAAGTAGAAATATCCAACTTACTATAGGGACAATTTCTTTAATGCCGGACAAATTCGCTTCACTTATTCCATAACTGAAACGAAATCAATAATAATAATAAAACGCATCAATATTTTACATACAAATGGCTATGCACATCTACCTTACTCACAAACTATCCATGTTTCTAAACCTCCATACACTTAACAATGTCTAAATAAGTCTCAGATAGTGTTAACAGTTTTAAAATGTAAAGTGTGGATAGTTGTCAAGTTCATTTTCTATTGATTAAAAAGAAAAAGAGTATTTGTCTGTACATTGCATAATAGTTCACTTCTTTTGAATAAGGTTATAATCTTATCAATTCTGTATCATTCAGTTGTTGGTTTTTTTTCATTCGCCTTTCATGTTATATATGGCTTAGCAAACATGGATAAAAGCCTCTATAACTATTATTTATTGTTATTGTTCCCTTTGTGCGTCGGTGGTATAGCGGTTAGGACGCTCGCCGACCATGCATATGGTTCGGGGTTCGATCCCCGGCCGGCGCACACCTTTACCTCACTGAGCCAGAAATAATGCTGGTAAAGAGGAAAGGTTGGGCATGAGGCTAGCAACCCCATCCTGTAAAAATTAAACACTGCTACAGAAACTTCAAGCCACTAGCTTGGAGCCCTATGTTCCACTGGGAACGTGAAGGAAAAATTATTTATTATTATTATTGTTCCCTTAGGTTCCTAGTGGAACATAGGGCATCGAATGCACGTCTCCACTTGATTCTATCATCTGCTGTACTTCCCACTCGCCGCTTCCCTCTCACTTCTCTTCCACTCTTGCAATGGCCTGACGTGGGCGCGATGTCACCCAGCGGCCCCCTCAGCCAGTCTCCAATCCATCTCCACTTTCTCCTGCATATTTGTTAGTTGGCGATTGCTTCTTGTTTTCTTTGTTCCCATAGTTTCTTGTTGGTGATTGTGATTTTTTCCGGCCCGGCCATCTGATCTTCATTTAGTATAGAGTGAAGACAGTTAGTTGTTGATAAAGGTCTACAATAGCCAGCCTGTTGGAAATATTCTTTGTGACCCGCCCGCCCGCCAAGTTTCTGATCCGATCAGTATAGAAGAACTGACTGACTTGACGTTGTTTGTATTGAAAATCAAACCGACCGAATTTTGTTGATGCTGGCTGAGTGACGAATATTTCCCGATTGGTTTCAGGTTGATGAATGATGTGTTTCTCGCCTTACCGATTCTCTATAACTATGCTGATCATTAAATCCAACTGCCTGAACTTAGTCAACGTAAAATCTGTTTAACAGATTCACTTTATATCTGGTGGATAATAAAAGAACAGTTTAGTCCATTTATTTCGCAATAACATCTCCCATTCTACATCATCACTATCGTGCTCATGAGATTCGGCTGTCGATCAAATGACATGTGTACTGCTCAGCAGTTCTCTCCGTTGTTCTTCATGGTTGTGAGATATGTTCATTGAAAGTGAAAGATATAAAAAGGTCAGCTGTCTTTGACCACAGACGTCTGCGTTCTGTTTCCCGTATTGAGTGGTTTAATATAGTAAGTGATACTGACAACAGACGTATAGAGTCAGCTAAAGAAAGGAGGTTTAAGAGAATTGGTGTTTTTAGTTTTTTTTTTTTGTCAATCGTAGAGGTTAGGAAGCTACGTTGATTAGGATGCCTAGAACACACGTTACGCATGACGACAATGTCAACTTGTGAAGACAGAAGACAAGAACCAGACAACGGATTGTTTATTGAGAAAATCAAGAGATATTAATAGATTTTTATGTACATTACTGTCAGAGGAGAAGCAACCTCTTCTGATTATTTGTTTTCTTGCTCAAAGTTATTTTTTGCCGTTTGTGACCGTTTCTCAGAAAGTTAAGCCGCATATCTGCGAATCCTACTTGCGTACGTTAAGTCCGCTATGATTGGATGGTGAGTTCCTCAAGGTTAAGCTTTGTTATTGTTTTCATCGTGACCCCAATTCCGGACTTAATACTGACGTAAATTGTTGCTTACAATTTTGGCTTGTTCACAGCCAGCTCTCACCACAAGCTGACATAGGGTCTGGGTTGGAAATGAATTAGAAGTGGTCAAATCAAAACCTGGCATCAGTTCATGAGGTCACTGACGGTTAGTTTGAGCCTTGTAGGGGGGGAGTGTAGATTGTTAGGTTGAGGTCCTCAGGATGCTCAGAGAACCAACCAGTGGCTTGCGACTTTTGGTAATATAGCTAAAAAAACGTCAGTGGCGCAGATTCACTCACACTTTTCGCAATCGCTCAATTAAATTGAGTCCTCATGTGTTTCTCCATGTGTTACTATTCTTTCTCCCAAACATTTCTACCCATAATAGTTCTTTTGAATTTTTCCTTCCCCTCCTCTACATCTTTGTGTATTACATGGAGTGTGGAAAATTCAATTGCTGCACTTCTGTACAAATTTCTATGTTGAAACTCGAACGGACAGTTAACCAGAAAACAATGCGTACAAAGAAAAGAAATAATCTCTTCCTCATAGCAAGATGCGTCGGTTGCATAGCGGTTAGGACGCTCGCCGACCATGCACATGGTCCGGGGTTCCATCTCCAGCCACCGACGCACTCCTTTACCTCGCTAAGCCAAAAATTATTCTGGTAAAGAGGGAAGGTTAGGCATGAGGCTAGCAAGCCCATCCTGTAAAATAAACACTGCTGCAGAAACTTCAAGCCACTAACTTGAAGCCCTATGTTCCACTGGGGAACGTGAAGGAAAAAAACATAGCAAGATGATAATGTGCTCTCGTTAACTTCTTTTACAGGATATATTCTAGCTGTTTATTTGCATGTTTGTCTGTCTTCAATTTCTTAACTATAGATAATTCTTTATCATTTACAAAATTTTTTCACTAAGCAAACTAGGAGTACTGCAATTATAACCTTAAGCTGACTAATTCATAGACTTTCGACTAAAAACTGACATCAGTTACAGAGATGTAGAACACGAAGCTGCTGTCATCTTACTGTTGATAGGACCTCATCAGAAGCATATACATGCGGATCAAAAAGGTAACAATGCCAGAATCGTTAACTTTAGGTCTCATGATAACAACAACACTGCTGTATACAGTGGTTGCTACTTTTTCTCAAAGAATAAGACCACAAGCCGGTGACATCACAAATAGTATTTCTCATCCCATATTAGTTTGTTTACTAGATGTATCACACAGTCTGTGGAACAGTATTATTATTTACTGGATGACGTTTGGAACAATATTTAATGTTCGTAATCATTTCATCAATTATAATAACACGACTTCGAAACTTGAGTTTTATAGTTTTCTTTGTCTCCTCCAATTTGTCGTTGTAGGGGTAGTAGAATTTTCCAGATATCTGGCCGGACAGGTGTTGAATCATTCCTATTACACATATTTGCAGTTGATTTTATAAACAAAGCCTCAGTCAGTTATCAATCTCTCCCTCCACCCAGCTGTTACATTAGATTTTAAAACTGTCATCCTATCCAATCCAACCTATTGTATGGTTGTGTGTAATTGAATGTAATGAGTGCTATAGCTGAACCATTCTCTAGATTTCTTACCTTATTCTGGTCAACCAATCTAGATTTTGCTGCTAGGTTTTTATATTCGGCTAGTCTGACTGCCCCTGTTCTACTGCTTTGACCAGACAATCACTATAGGCAGGGTATTAGATAAACTAAATTGTTTTGTTTTAGAGGCTCCACAGGACTGATCCTTCAACCGACAAAGCTTGTCTTTAATTGAGTTTGTGGTTGGTTTGAATGCCAGTCACTTTTATTCCTGCCCTGTTAGAATTCTGCGTAAGGTGGTTCCCGAGGTTCCTTCCTTGTATGGAATTACTACTGATGATTTAGATTCCCTATTGTTGGTGTTGTGGCTTTCGCATATTTTACATGCATGTCATTATTATTATTATTACCATTATTATTATATTATCACTATCACTACTTACATAATTTATTTTATTTTACATTTCCTTACATATTTCCTGACTAATTTATCCGGGTAATTATTAAGTTTCAAGGCTTCTTTCAGGTGTATCACTTCCTGTCTTAGATTTTCCTTGGTACTACTTAGTTTTTGTGCTCTGTCATTTAAACATTTCAGCAATCCTATTTTTACTGACATAGGATGGGATGATCGAAAGTCCAAATATCTGTTTGAATGAGTGGGTTTCCGGTAAACACACTAGACTGTTTAACTTCCCATCTTCTTTCCTTTTTACACTGCAATGTAACATTGGAAGCTCCCTGACGTTCTGACTTTCCAATTCATAAGTGAGTTGTATCGCCTCCACCTTTGAGTTAATGTGTTCGAAAAATCTATTTATATCTTGCGTTCTAAGTACAGTGAATGTGTCATCTACATACCTCCACCATACTTTTGGGGTGGGGGTGAACGTTTCAATTGCTATGTTTTCCCACCTATCCATGCATATATCTGCTACAACCGGGGATATTGGTGATCCCATGACATAGGAGAAGACAAAGAAAAATATAAAATTCAAGTTTCAAAGTTGTGTGATTACAACTGATACGATTATGAACAATAAATTTTGTTCGAAACTGTGTCATCCAGTAAATAATAATACTGTCTCACACTGTGTGATACATCTAATAAACAAACTAATATGGAATTACTTACTACCACAGTGCCCAAGTTTTACACATATATTAGCATTTGTCATCCTTTCCGCATAACTGAGCCAACAAGTAGTGCAGCTACTGCGTGAGCTTTTATTTCGAAATTTACTCAAAGGTTGATTGATGATAGGCACATTGAAGTATTGCTTAGTTTGGAAAGCATTAATTCAAGTGAATCATTAAATCATACTATTGATCTATTGAAGTATTATACGCAATACTCCCTTTCACATTCATAACAACTAAATACTCGGCATATATGGCAGTGAATATGACATCAAATAAGCCGGTAAATATATATATATATATATATATATATATATATATATATATATATATATTATATATTAATAAAACTGATTAACACCACTTGCCTAGACAAAGCATATACCAATTCTCCGGTACCAAATAAACATCCCTGTTGAGTGTGTAATGTAGATTTCCATGAATCAATAATTAACTGAGGTAAAACTTCAAAAGATTAGGAGAAATATGTGAAAAGTAAGAGGTGATATTAACAAACAGCTTGAAATATGATTAACGAAATTCCTGAGAAGAAACAGTAATATTAAAAGTGTAATAAGTGAGAGCAATGAGGCATCTACAATAATAATGTAAACCACTCGCGTTAATACGGAAATCACAATCACAGTTTGTCATGCGACAATCAAGCACATCGATACATTACAAAGTCGTTACCTCAAGTGATAAAGACAAGTGCAATTTCACTAGCGGCTACTACTATAGCCCCTTTTCGTTGACTGACAAGACAGTCATGTATACGTCTAATTTTAAATTCTCCTGAGTGAATTGCAGTACTAATAAAATTGCATACAAACACTATTCAAAAGGTCAAGGACTCATTGCAGCACTCCCACCATAAGGAAAATTGAAGAAAAATATCTCAGACGTCTTCCAAAAGAATGGAAATCCACGGAATTTCATCAAAAGACATATACCCCAAAGCCAACCTATCAAACCGAAAGCCCCAAGGAAAGCACAAAGAAAATCGCCTTACCATATGCAAAGGATATCTCAGAAATCAACACAAGACTACACAAACCAACAAGGTCACTTCACTCAATTCTATGTCAACCAAAAGACTCAACAGAAAACGAAGATAAAACCAACATCATCTACAAAATAAATGGTAACAACTGTGAAAAACACTACATTGGTCAAAGTGGACATCGCCTTCGTATCCACGAACACAAGCTAGCCATCAAAAGACATGAAATCCACTCTCTCGCTCATATCACTACATACAGACAACCACGGACATCAATTCGACTGGGACAATGTTCAAATATTAGACAGAGGAAACAACAAGAATGATAGAGAATTTTTAGAAGCCCATCTGGTATTCCAATAAATCATCAATCAACAGACACATAGAAATAGACAAAATTTATCAACCGATAAGAAAGAAACCCCACACACAAAGGGTCAAAGTTCAAGCCAAAGAAACAATCAGTTCCAATACAAGTAATCATTCACCCTAGGTGAATAAGGCAAGTCGCTAGCTAGTGAGCATCTCATTGATATTCAGATAACATAACCAAAAAATGACTTAAAGATATCAATCCATAGAATATCTACTGATCAAAAAAATTTCTTACACTGACTATATAAAATATTCTAAGCATTCTTCAAAGCAACACTTACCACTTTCCATCATATAATTTGAATCAAATGAACACAAACTGCCTAAGGCACAAGCAGCCAAATATCGAATTGAATCATCCCAGTGTCCAAGGCGAACACTGACTAAATGGTCAATCATAGGTCTTACATATTCTTTGTATTTAGCCACAAATGTACTACATAAAAAAATAATGAATAAAAATAAGTAGTAACAATATGGAAGCAATCGAAATGTGTCTCATGTAAACTCATCACTCATACGCATCGCGTCTAAATATTTAATGTATACATTCAGAGTACTCCAATTTATGAAGATGGATTATTACGCAAGAAAGATCTACAACTTATTTCTTTTATTGCGTGGAGGATTTCATTATGAGCTGACATCAATTAGAGAGCCACTGGGATAGTTGTTTCGTTCTAGGTTCTGGAGTCGTCATCAGTACGTACCAACCGGGGTTCGAACCCAGGACCTTCTGGTTACAAGGCGAGCTAGCTCGTAGACCACTAAGCCACTGGGACCCGATCCAATGGTTCTTGAATTCTAACTTCTGCCAATTCATGACATAGCGCCACCATTTCGCAATGTCCTCTTCGATGAGTTACTGCCTCATCTTCTACCTGCTGTACCCCACTAGTCACGGCTTCCCACTAGAACCCCAGGTTAACCGCCTACCTGAATAGGGCCAGTCGCTAGTGAGCATCAGATTAATTTTCTAGTACTGGCTTTGTAGGGATTTTGTTTGATTGCATGGAGGATTTCATTATGAGCTGACATCAGTTAGAGAACCAATTTAGAGTTGTTGCTTATTGGCTTCAATTCTTCAGTTACAGGTTCATATCATTAAATATCTACGGAGGTTTGAGCAGCCCTCCAGCTGGTATTGTGGTGTGCTACTTATAATTATAGTACATAGAGTAACGTGTCCAAAGAAGCAATGATAATGTGTGTTATCAATGGAAAAACGGGTGAGACTGCCAGCCTCAATATCCAACCTTATCTCTTTACCAGGCTTACGACCGGTGAAGTAAGCATCTAGGAATGCGTCGGTCAGGACTCGAACCTGTACCACGTACGTGGTTGATGAGCATTCTACTACTGAACTATCCATGCATAATGGAAGAAATGCGAGAAAAGCGTTGAAATTCCGACAACGATAAAAAACTCATGACCGCCAAACAATGAAGAACAAAAAATACTCCAAACACACAATGCTTCATATCATTTGAAAATTGTGAAACCAGTAAAAAGATTTGAAATGTGAAATGTTTCTCAACCAATTGCGGATCCATGCAGTTGACCATGAACCAACCTATTTGTATGAAGGCTAGTAATACTACCTAGTTGCCCAAACCTCAGTAGGTGAAGCGGAGTTCGAATCCGTGAAGTTAAGTCTATAGACCAATACACCATATCTCCAATTGGTGTTGTATATTATAATTTGTCCAAATAGACATTGGGTGCACGTTTTAATAGTCTTTTTCTCTTCAGCATAACTACTCCTCAAACATGTGACGAGAACCACTGCCAAGCGCTTCAATGGTCATGCGCTAGTTGGATGATATATGCCGTATCAGGTAATAAACAGTCTAAATGTCGCATATTTTTAAATTAAATGATTCAAAGAAGTATATAAACAACTACTACTTATTCAGAATGCACCCGCGAATATATACGAACAATTCTGATCCTCCTAAGTAGGCGAATGTACACTCCAAGATATAGTATCAGGCTAACTGTTGGAAAAACAATGAATACTGTTATGTACTCGTCGAGTAGTTAATAGTCCTGACGCAGAAAGAGGGAAATCAAAAGACCACCAGGTTTACGATGATACTTGTATTTCCCAGACAAAGAAAATAAATGTCACACAAGTGTGTGAGTGAAATGGTACGTAGTGTACGAAACGTGGGAACAACTATGAACAAGTGTATAAAGCAAGAGTATATATGAAAATGGCTAATACACATGAACCAATAAGATAACGTCTTATCATGATTGGTTGTAATGTCATGTGATAACAAGGTCATACATTGTTTATTTAGTTAGTGGACAGACAAAAGCATATTGTCAGTTGTAATGGAATATCGATCCACATACACATACCAAAATATAATAGACTGTCGAAAACAAACACACATCATGTGGGTACATATCAAATACAGGAAACTTTAACTAACCTCAACTGAAGGTAACAACGATGAAGACTTCCAACGCTAAAATAATCACAAGTGGTTAGAATTTCTATCCCATGTGGAAACTGACCCTGGATAATACAAATATATGATAACAGAAATACAGACAATAAGCAACAACAGCACGTACATCTTACATATATATATATATATATATATATAGTGGTAAATTATTCCCACAGCCTATAGATCACATCCTTAAACCGATTAGAGTATTATATTTAGACACTTTAGTGTAGAATAAACACATGCATTTTCTGCTCAGATGATCACAATAGTAATAGTCCTACAAACGAACTGGTACGACCAAGAGAGTGGGTAGACTTCAGTTTTCTTCTGGAAACGCTCTCATATAGCCATGCTTTCATAGCCTCTGTGAATAAGACTTATTATTCGCTGCTTTCACACACACACACACACAGCAGGTTTGTTCTTCAAAAAGATGAAAGGGTGAATGAGAACCTCTGGAGCCTACGACAGGACTGATGGACATCCAGGTCTACCTAGCGGCGCTGGAAAACCTTGATTTCAAACCCATAGTATACATGGGCTCTGGCATTTAAAAGGACTTAGTGGCGTATGAACCTGTTTCGGACACTGAGAACTGTCTGGTGAAGATGACTCACTAGCCTGCAGAATAGTACTAACTGTAGTGTCAATCTGAGAAGGATGTCGGTGGCACCATGGAGTCCGTGCCAGCGAACCGACAACGGTGACCTCTCCTACAGTTCTGTCTGATAATCATTTTTTCTTGTAAGCACTAACTTTAAACACAAGGAGAGACACTGTTTGACTTGGGACCCCCTTCATCAAACCAACGCTGGACACAAATAGACCACATAGCAATAAGCTATCGTTGGCGTGGGTCGGTAGGAGATTGTCGCTCCTTCTGGAACACGTGCGTAGATACCGACCATGCACTGGTCCGCGCTCGGGTGTGCTTACGACTGAACGGACGTAGGAAACAGCTGGCGGTAAAACCATCACGTCCCCAGCTCGATCAGGAAACTAAATCCGTATTTCAGGAAGAACTAGCTAAACACATATCTGTGTTCGACAGCTGTGCTCACCCTGAAGAAGCTTGGAAAAATATCCAGGCAGCCATAGATACAGCTGTAAAAGCTGTGAATAAGGTAAACCCAAAGGTGAGTAAAAACCACTGGATCTCCACCGCCTCATCCGAACTGATAGATGCTAGAAGACTTATTCCGGCGAGCTCCGAATTCAATGAGGAGCGAAAGCTGCACAAGAGGAAACTTACGAAAAGTCTCCGCAAGGACCGTGAACAGTGGTGGGCGACAAAAGCCAAAGAGATGGAGAAAGCTTCGAGGATAGGCAACACCAGGCAACTCTTTGGACTCATCAGGGAAACGGGTGGGAGAAGACAAATCATCAGTGAGACAATCTCGGAAAAAAATGGCACTATAATTAGCTCCAGGATAGACGACTGGATCGTTGGAAAGAGCATTATGAGGAGCAGTTTAATTTGCCCACAGCCACGCTCAACCTTCCGAGCATCCAACACCTCCCTGAATGGGATATAAACACAGGTCCTCCGTCACTAACTGAGGTTACTAAAGCTGTCACCAATCTGAAACTAGGCAAAGCAGCGGGACCTGATGGAATGACTCCAGAGGTATTTAAGTACGGTGGAGACAGCTTACTGTCCGGATTAACTGAGGTACTAGGCAGCGTCTGGGAATCAGAAGAAGTCCCATCGGGTTGGTGTAAGTCACTGATTATCCCCATATACAAGAAGGGAGACAAGTCTTCCTGTGATAATCACAGAGGGATTAGCTTGACTAATATAGTATCTAAAGTCTTAGGCTCAATAATCATGCGTAGACTGAGTGGTGCTCGGGAAGCACAAACACGAGAGAGCCAGGCAGGCTTTAGACCAGGAAGAGGGTGTATTGATCATATCTTCACCCTCCGACAGATTCTAGAACATAGGCATTCCTACCGGCGTCCAACAGTCATTATATTTCTTGACCTAAAGGCAGCATTCGACTCTGTCGATCGGGAAGTTCTCTGGAGATGCTTGGCTGTAAAGGGAATTCCAAGAAAATATATTGCACTGATTAAGGCACTCTACTCGTACTCATACAGCCAGGTGAGGGCTTACGGCGAGCTGTCATCTGAACTGATGACGACCAGTGGTGTCCGTCAAGGATGCCCATTATCTCCTTTTCTATTCAACTTCATCATAGATGTGTTAATGGACTTAACCCTAGGTGACTTCAGCGACTCAGGGATTGACTTGCTACCGGGAATAATCTCGTTGACTTGGAATATGCAGACGATATAGTCCTTCTAGGCGAAGACGCTGACGAAATGCAGAGTCTTCTAAACACCTTGAGCGCAATCTACGAATGTTTGGCATGCGATTCGCTCCCGCCAAATGCAAGATGATGTTACAGGACTGGACTACATCGACGCCTAGTTTAAAAATAGGAAGTGAAGTGGTAGAGCACGTTGACCGCTTCACTTATTTGGGAAGTACCATCAGCCCCAACGGCTGATCTCTGACGAAATCTCAGCACGAATACAAGGGGCTCGTTTCGCATTTGTTAGTTTACGCCGACTCTGGCGTAGACGAGATGTTCGACTATCGACCAAAGGGCGGGTGTACTGCTCATCAGTCCGCTCCGTCCTCCTTTATGGTTGTGAGACCTGGCCACTGAGAGTGGAAGACATGAAAAGACTAGCTGTCTTTGATCATAGGTGCCTGCGTTCTATTTCCCGTGTAAAGTGGCATAATAAGGTGAGCAACATGGAGGTTAGGCGTAGAGTTCTAGGTAAACAGGGGAAATCAATCGACGAAGTCGTGAAGCTACAAAGACTGAGATGGTTAGGACATGTGTTACGTATGCCAAGCCATCGCCTCCCTCGACGAGCAATGTTAGCGGATATAGGGTCAGGCTGGAAAAAAGCTAGCGGCGGTCAAACAAAAACTTGGCATCAGTCAATGAAATCCACAACAGTTGGTCTAAGCCACGTAGAAGGTGTAGACTTCCAGGCTGGGGTCCTCGGGACGGTAAAAATCTATGGTTGGAAACAATTGGTGACATGGCTCAAAATCGTTCTCAGTGGCGCAGATGCATCCACTCCTGTGACTTATGATCAATGAAACTGTTTTGTTTTCTTTATTACTCCTTTGTCTCACACCTCTGCTCACTGTTTCTATTATGCTTTTCTTGTACTTTCTTCTCTTGCTTCGCGTGCTACACGGAATGTGGCGACTTGAACTTCCGCACATTTGTGCAAAGTTCTATGTCGAAAACAGACAGACAGACTAACTGTAGTAGAGAAGCAAGATGAGGAGGATGGTGTGAGTAAAGGAGAATGATGCTCAGGAAGGCTTAGTGTGCTTTTGGAAGTGTGTGGGTGGCTGTTACTTCCCGGCTGCTCACACAATGGAAGTTGATTGATTCTTCGGGTACCTGAAACAGAAAGAGTGTTGCGTGACCGAAGAGCCCAGGGGACAACTGCTTGAGGCTAGTCACACACGGCCTGTGTGAATTGGTTTCTGGGATTGGTTCCGTATTAGTAAACTTATCGCCGGTCACGGACCACCGTAGGGTAAGTCGGGATGTACACCGGACACTGGAAACGACGGGAACTTAGCTCCTGGCGCTGTTCCACTGCCATGTAGGTCGGACTTCAAGTCAAAGGCTCAGCGGGCCAGTTGGTCTCCTTAAGATAATCGCCTGCCTTGGTCTAGAAGTAAAGGCTCTATCCCAGCACTCGCATAAACTATGAGATTTTGTGTAGCGCATCTCTTGTCACCTATGATGTACCAATTTTGTGTTTTAATAAAACTTTTTTAAGTACTGAGGTGCACATTGATTTCTTTCTTAAAATGCTTCCACTTCAAAGCGGATTCTGTCTGTCTGTCTGTTTTCGACATAGAACCTTGCACGAATGTGCGGAAGTTCAAGTCGCCACATTCCGTGTAGCACACGAAGCAAGAGAAGAAAGTACAAGAAAAGCATAATAGAAACAGTGAGCAGAGGTGTGAGACAAAGGAGTAATAAAAATACTGTAGAAAGCACATCGTTCTAATGATAAATACAATATGTCAAAAATATTTCTCCAAAAAATTACTTACAAAGTTCTGACTGTCTTTGACTAAACCATATATACTCATCCGATAGCTTAAAACATACATCTGCTCTACTTCTTTTTCTACTTTACTGTAATGGGATTACGGTATTATCTGTACCATCATATGGCTCTGACGAGTTGAAGACATGAAAAGGTTGACTGCTTTCGATCATAGATGTCTGCGATCCGTATCTCACGTTAGGTGGTATAAGGTAAGTAATGTTGACGTTAGGCGTAGTGTTGGGCAAGGAGGGAAAGTCTCTACGAGGCTATAAAGTTACATAGATTGAGATGGCTAGGTCACGTGCTGCGCATGCTTAACCATCGCCCCCGACGGGCATTACTAGCTGATATAGGTGCAGGTTGGAAAAGAGCCAGTGGTGGCCAAACAAAAACATGGCCTCATCAATCCATGAAATCCTTGACAGTTAAATTGAGTCAGGTAGGGAGATGCAGACTCCCGGGTTTGGGCCCTCGGGACTCTAGGAATCAATGGCTGGAGACAATAGGTGACATGGCTCAAAATCGTTGTCAATGGCGCAGATGTATTCAGTCTCTGTAATCTTTCATAGTCCTTTCTACCATTACCCATTCTGTCACTCTTATATTGTCAAACTCTATTGATTCTTTCACTCATCTTCTTGTTACTTTGTGTCGTTGGAAGTGGCAACTCGAACTGCTGCACTTCTGTACCAAGTTCTATGTTGATCCAGAGAATCCCCATTATCTCTCATAATTCGTACATCAACAGAAGTATTTACTGTACACAGGCAGGTATTATGTGTATAGATTTCGATGCCCACAAATCATTAACTATTTTACTGTTTTACTCCTATTCCAATTATAAGTTCAGAAATGTTTACACATTTCTATATAAAGAAACTCCACAAGGTCTTTGAGACCTATTTCTTAGTGAAAAAGGAAAAAGAAAGTTTACATAACTTACCTGTCGACCGACATTTTCCTGAAATGCAGCGGCTCCAGCTCGACGAACATTAATCTCTCGATCAAAAAGGCTCACTAGGACCAGTGCACTAGCTATAGGAATTACATACTTCTCAAAATCTTTGGGATGATATGCCCTAGCAAATGACCAGCATACATAGCAACCAGCATCGCGAACATTTGATCCATATTTGTGATCACCAGAACGTTCATCATAAAACAAAGCCCGCAGAACAACTGGAACTACCTGTAAGTGAAAAAATTATGCGTAGGTCATTGGATATTTACGAGATATTTTATATATCAAAAAAATACTAACAGAAAGGATCTCAAGAAATGGAATCATGTATTATTTTGCTCTTATTAGTTGTCCTTCGGATTCCTTGTTGAACATAGAGATTTGGTGGCACATCTTCATGGTATTCTGTCCTCCACTGTCTTTTGAGTTGACTCCAAGACTGCCTACCAGCTTCCAATTCCTTTTCGCATGGTCTCTTTCCTGTTACTCTCACAAGCACGCCCAACTCTTCGCCTCCTATTCGGATTCCACTCGATGACTTGTCGTCTGGCATATGGTATCAGTCAACAGTCCCCTCAGTCTATATATAATCCATCACCATACCCTATATGATGAAGAAAAGCTTCTGAACAGGTTTACTGTCAGAGTTCCTAACTGTCTGCTTATCTTTTCTGACCCATCATCCAATTTTCAGTATCAAGCGAAGACAACTGTTAACGAAAGTCTACAACCTGCTGCAAATACTTTTCTTGGTGTCCCAATATACTCTGAACTTTATATAAAAACACTGACTAAACATTAGTGTTGAAAGGTCGGATCCTGTTTCTTGTGCTTTGTAATAACAAAGAACAATATAGTTTCACTGGAAATCATAAGTCACAGGGAGTGGATGAATCTGCGCCAGCCATTGAGAACGATGAGTTTGAGCCATATCACCAATGGTTTCCAGCCCATCATTGGTTTTTACCCTCCCGAGGACCCCAACCAGCAAGTCAGGAAGTCTACACAATCCTACATGACTGGTTGGCTTAAACTAACTGTTGTAGATTTCATTGACTGGTGCCATGTTTTGGTTTGATCGCCGCTAGCTCTTTTCCAGCCTGACCGACCCCATGTCAGCTAACATTTCCCGTTGGTCGAGGAAGGCGATGACTAGGCATTCATGCGTAACACATGTCCTAACCATCTCAGTCGATGTAATTTCACAGCCTCGTCGATTGATTTCCCTTCCCACCTACTTAACACCAGACCGAGGCCTAACTTCAATATTGCTCACCTTATTATGCCGTTTCACACGGGAGATAGAACGCATGTACCTACGATCGAAGACAACTAACCTTTTCATGTCTACTCTTCTCAATGGCCAGGTCTCACAGCTGGCCAGTTTCCAAATTACTCCATGGTCAACGCTATCGAGGGCCTTTTCAAAGTCAATGAGGCTGGGGGGGGGCAGAGTCGACTGGTATTCTAGGCTCTGTTTAGTGGAGACGCGTAATGCTGCAATTTTGGTCCGCCAATGATTTGCTTTCCCTGAATCCAACCTATTCAGTAAGGGGTTTCCCAACAAGGTCATTTTTTCAGTCTGTTCTAGATGATAAAACTTAATATCTTGCATAGAGTGGTCAAGAACATAATTCCATGCTGGGTCTTTCATCAGTGAAATTTATATATATATATATATATATATTCGTGGGCTAGTCATTGGATCGGGTCCCAGTGGCTTAATGGTATACGACCTCGCCTTGTAACCAGAAGGTCCTGGGTTCGAACTGTAGTGGTGGGTCTGTCTGTCTGGATTCAACATAGAACTTGGCACCGAAGTGCAGCAGTTCGAGTTGCCACGTTCCAAATAGCACACAGAGGTAGACAAGAAGATGAGTGGAGAGAATTAATAGAGTTTGACAAATATAGGAGTGAAACAGAATGGGTAATGGTAGAAAGGAATATGAAAGATTACAGAGACTGAATACATCTGCGCCATTGACAACGATTTTGAGCCATGTCACCTATTGTCTCCAGCCATTGATTCCTAGAGTCCCGAGGGCCCCAACCCGGGAGTCTGCATCTCCCTACCTGACTCAGTTTAACTGTCAAGGATTTCATGGATTGATGCCATGTTTTTGTTTGGCCACCACTGGCTCTTTTCCAACCTGAACCTATATCAGCTAACAATGCCCGTCGGGGGAGGCGGTGGTTAGGCATGCGCACCACGTGACCTAGCCATCTTAGTCTATGTAACTTTATAACCTCGTCGATTGATTTTCCCTCTTTGCCCAACACTCTACGCCTAACGTCAACATTACTTATCTTGTGAAACCACCTAACGTGAGGCAGAGATCGCAGACATCTATGATCGAAAGCAGTCAACCTTTTCATGTCTTCAACGCGTATTGGCCATGTTTCAGAGCCATAGAGAAGGACGGAGCGAACTGATGAGCAGTACACACGTCCCTTGGTTGATAACCGGATGTCACGCCTACGCCAGAGAGTGAGTACTGCTGAAGAGTCCCAAACTAGGACGAAACCGCTGGCTGTCCAGTGCTCCCAGGTTTTCCAGTGGTTCTCTAACTCATGTCAGCTCGTGATGAAAATCCTGTAACCAATCAAATCCCTACAAACCAACACTTGAAAATGACAAATTACTGTCCTTCTCTGTTTCATATGTGAAATTCTCGGTTGAGCCGAACTGAACGTTTTGCGAATAAACCTTAGCACTGATATTATTCGCATACAAGGTGAATGGATCTTTCACATAGTTACAATAGAGTGACAGTTTATTTACTACATTTTTCAGTGGACAATCGGTTGGCGACTAAGATAGGGAGCAAAAAGGAACCCACTGCTACGCCTCCCACCTACCTGATGACAAATTTTCAATGATTATTATCCACTAATTCATATAATTAAAACATTAATCCTATTCATCACATTGGTGTTAAATATTTATGTAATTATAAAGCCTGATGAGAAACTAAATATGCTTATGTAAAGTGAAACAATAAGTAAGACAATCCCTAGCAGAAAAAAAAATTTATCCACTTAACCATATCACTCGAATTATTTCCCACCTAAGAAAACCTCAAATGGTCTTATTATTAAAAGACTTACTTCTGAAAGTTTGGAAGGTAAAAGAAGACTACGACGACCAAGCTCAGCTAGAGTTAAACAAGCTCCATGCCATGCAGTATATGGTTCCAACTTTGTACATAAGGCTAATACAGCCGACAGGACATCATCTACCATTGAACTGGATAAACGCGCACATAAGCGTCCAATTCTGAAAAACAAAAAAAGAGAGCAAGGACAGATTAATTATTATTATTGTTCCCTTGGGTTCCTAGTGGAACATAGAGCCGCAACTGCACGTATCCACTTGCCACTTCTGTCTTCTTCTATACTTTTCACCTGCATCCATGTTAGTCCATACTGTTTCGACTCCTTTTCACAGGATCTCCTCCATGCCTCGTTACTATCACACTGTTGTTCATCTAGTACCACACATCAACTTTATATTTCAAATCCTGTGTTGCATTGTTTGAAATGAAATACTCTACGTTGTTTTTTTCTTAAATTTAATATTTATTTATTTATAACTAATTTATTTATTTTTATTTATTTATCTTTGATTTTTAAAATCTTATATAATTTATGAGGTAATTAGATGCAATATACTGTAACGCACGCTGTAAATTCCATACCTGTACCACAAATACTGTTTGGAATAAAGCTGTTTTATTATTATTCACCCTTGCACTGACGACCCACTCGCCGCTTCCCTTACAGGTTCCACTCGAGCAATGGCCCGACGTGCGCGCGATGTCACCCAGCGGCCTCCTCAGCCAGTCTCCAATCCATCTCAATCCACTTTCTCCTGCATATTTGTTGGGCGATTACTAGCTCTCTACTTTTCTAGTCGGTACCAAGCCCGGATAAAAAGAGAGAGTTGGGGCGTGGTGCTAGCAACTCCACCCCAAAACTTAACCAAATTGCTACAGAAACTTCAACGCATAAACGACAGATTAATACACCATAAGTATTATTCACTTGGCTTCTAAACTAGCACGGAGTAGTCGGAAACATCACTAGGTTACGTATATTTGCCTTACAAAAACTAATAACATGAAAGAGGATCGACTCATGAACTCTGATTACTGCTCCCAACTGTGTAAGGAAACCAAGGCTTTTTGATTTAGCTGTAAACGACCAGTGAGATTAATGTTCAGAGGATTTCGGTGATACGCTATATCATCACACGTTGACACAAATATGCAGATGCACGCGTATCACACCTTCGCTCAAATCTTAAATCTCCTACCACTATTACTTACCTTTTCTCTTTGCTAACTTTAACCTCGGTTTTTTCACTTCAAATACAGTGACTCAAGCTAAGAGGTTGTTGTGGATACTTATACACTGTGTATTTATTAGGCTGTCTATTTTGCTTGTTTCACAGAACGAATATATTTTGAACAGAAAACGAAGCAAGAATATTGACTTTTAACTGACTAATCAAGCATTCTATGAATTATCATCCTTTAATGCTCTACACATAGTAAAGGAACTGTAAAGCCAGGAAAACTTAAGAGACTTACATACATTCCATACCACACACACTCTTAGAAGTGAGCAGGCATTTGTTCCAAAAAGGAATCAAATTAGCTTAAAAAAGTGACAACAGGATAGTATTTATTATGGATAGAGATTTTATTTTGATAAGTCACACAGTCTTGTACAGTAATATTAACTGATGACCACATTTCGAGCACAAACTATTGCTCATAATCATATCAAGTTACTCTCATACACACACACACACAACTGCGGATACTGAACTCAATCATACGACAAAGCTGCCCATTGAAGAAATTATTTTAGGGATTCAGTTATGCCTCATATCTACTACCGTCTTTAAATTCCAAGGCAAAATATATAGACAAACAGGTGTAGCAATGGGATCACCAATATCCCCTATCGTAGCAGACATATTTATGGACAGCTGGGAAAATATGGCTCTTAATACATTTAATCCTACTCCTAAAATATGGTGGAGATATGTGGACGACAGTTTCACAGTGTTGAAAACAGAACATATCTCTAGCATCTTGACACATATAAACTCACTAGTAGAGGGAATAAAATTCACATTTGAAGCGGAATATGAACATGGAGAATTAGCTATGTTAGATTGTAAAATAAAGCGAATAGAAGAAGGCAAACTACATACTAGTATTTATAAAAACCAACGCATTCTAATAGATATTTAGACTTTAATATTCGTCTCATCCGTTAACCGATAAGGGAGGCTTAGTTAAGTGTCTAACAAACCCAGCCATAGCACTAAGTAGCAAAAAAGACCTAAATGATGAAATAAAACAGATAGAAGAAGCGTTAGTGTTGAATAACTACCCTATAAAATTCATTAGGAAGATCAGTAAAGGCCAAAAACAAAATAAAAATAATTGTGAAACGTAAATAAGAGAGAATATGTCATCCAATGTTATACCATATAATATGAGAGGACATCTGAGGCCGTCCTACGTAGGATTCTTAATAAAGCAGGAATTAGGGTGGAATTCAAACCTACAAACTCAATCAGGGACAAGCTGTGTAGGATAAAGGACCCGGTCGACTCAATTAGTGAGTGAGGTCAACTAACCACTGTGCGTCGGTGGCACAGTGGTTAGGACTCTCGCCGACCATGCACATGGTCCGGGGTTCGAGCCCACGCCGACGCACACCCTGATATCTATGGTCGGCCTGCGAAATTTGGGCTACCGATATCCATGCTGAAAATTCCATACTTGTACCAAAAATACAGTGTAGAATCAAGCTGTAATCAAAAAATAAATAAAAATACATAGGTCGAACTAGTAGGTCGGGAGTAGTCAGATTGTCAGGACATGAGAATTTAGTTAAGGGAAGAATGATTGACCCCGAAAAGATAAATAATTTAGAACAAAGCTCAGCGACTGCACTTCACGCATAACAAACAACCGCACAATATGGTGGGATAGGGTTAAAATTCTAAAAGGTAATCTATGTAGGTGTGTAACAACAGAAGACAAGGGCCAGGCAACAGATCGTTTATTAAGGAAATCAACAAGTACATATATATATATATATATATATATATATATATATTTCATGCACATTATTATAGCTTATTCAAGCAAACAAACACAGTCTTCTGACTGGTTGACCTTGCATCTCTTTGTGACTGTTTCTTGAATGTCAGGTCATCTATATATTAACTGTATCTGTCTACGCCAAGTCTGCTGTGATTGGTTTTTGAATCAGTCTTGTTCATATTTTCCCGTTACCAATATTTGCGACATACCCATTGACGTAAAATGCTGTCTTTTGGTTAGCCTGCTCTCACCGTAGGTGGAGAGAAAAGTAGATTACTGAATCCTGACTGGTTCATCGAGTCTACACCCAACACATGCAACAGAAATGACTCAATGCAAATACCAGAAATATGGAAGATATTATTACCGCCAATCAGTCAAATCAGAGGGCCCGACCGAAAGCTGCTACCTTGACGTGGTGGTCGAGCTTGAACACCACAATGATCTAATCAAGCTATACTGGCTGAGACTTATGTCTCTTGAGGTTCTACCATGCCAGGCAGGTTGTTTGGATAGCGGTTAAACAAAAAGCAGCTACCCCATCCAACACCATGATTCAAACAAATTCACAAAATATCATGCCCGATCGGCCGTGGCCCGGATTAACAACGACCGCGCTTCCTGCTGCCGTGTCACAGGGCAGAAGTGATAAGTATGCTACTGAGACACACCAAACAAAAACAGGCCGCCTGTGGCCGGCCTCAAGTAGTTGTCCCCTGGGCTCTGCGGTCACGCAACCAACTTCCACAATGTGGGCACCCGGGAAGTAACAAACGCGCTCACAATCCGAAATGCACACAAAACCTCTCTAACCTCACTCATCTATGTCTTCATCTTCATCTCTATCATCTTGCCTTCCTCCCACTGATGCAACTCCTCTGCTTGATGGCTCCTCACTCCCTCTTCACTCTGTGTCCACTAAAAACGACGGAAGCCAAAAATCCACCACCGACAGCCTCCTAAATCCACGCCACCAATTTCATATAGGAGCATTTAATGTTAGGACACTTTGCCAAATAGAACAACAAGCATCACTAGCCAAGACTCTGGCATCCCGAGCCCAAGCGTGGTGATTCACCTAACTCCACCCGGCCAACAGGTTGAATCTGCAAAATTCACCTTGAGGGTGTCAGGAGATGCCACAGCCAGTTCACGAGGATTAGCTGGTGTAGAGATAGCTTTGAGTACTAGGGCAGAAAAGACATTACTTGACTGGATCCCGGTAGATAGCCGAATGTGTGCTGTCCGTCTGAACGGATCAGTAAGAAGGAGAAAGGACTGCACTACTCGCCGATGCCTTTTCGTAATCTCCGCCTACGCCCCCACTGACTGCAGTTCGGATGAAACGAAGGATGAGTTCTACCAAAAGCTGTCTAGTTTGGTGAGAAAGGCTAAACGCTCAGATATAGTCGTTCTAGCTGGTGACTTTAATGCTCAAGTAGGGAAATTGTGTCAATCTGAGAAGGATGTCGGTGGCACCTATGGAGTTCCGTGCCAGCGAACCGACAACGGTGACCGTCTCCTACAGTTCTGTTCAGATAATCATTTGTTTCTTGTAAGCACTAACTTTAAACACAAGGAGAGACACTGTTTAACCTGGCGACCCCCATCATCAAACCAACGCTGGACACAAATAGACCACATAGCAATAAGCTATCGTTGGCGTGGGTCGGTAGGAGATTGTCGCTCCTTCTGGAACACGTGTGTAGATACCGATCACGCACTGGTCCGGGCTCGTGTGTGCTTACGACTGAACGGACGTAGGAAACAGCTGGCGGTAAAACCATCACGTCCCCAGCTCGATCAGGAAACTAAATCCCTATTTGAGGAAGAACTAGCTAAACGCATATCTGAATTCGACAGCTGTGCTCACCCTGGAGAAGCCTGGAAGAATATTCAGTCAGCTATAGATACAGCTGTAAAAGCTGTGAATAAGGCAAATCCAAAGGTGAGTAAAAACCACTGGATTTCGACTGCCTCATCCGAACTGATAGATGCTAGAAGACTTATTCCGGCGAGCTCCGAATTCAATGAGGAGCGAAAGCTGCACAAAAGGAAACTTACTAAAAGTCTCCGCAAGGACCGTGAACAGTGGTGGGTGACAAAGGCAAAAGAGATGGAAAAAGCATCGGCGATAGGCAACACTAGGCAACTCTTTAGACTCATCAGAAACGGGTGGGAGAAGGCAAATCATAAGTGAGACTATTTCTGAGAAAAATGGCTCCTTAATTAGCTCTCAGGATAGACGCCTTGAACGCTGGAAAGAACACTTTGAGGGACAATTTAACTTGCCTACAGCCACACTGAACCTCCCCGACATCCACACACACCCGAATGGGATATAGACACTGGTCCGCCGTCTGTAGTGAGGTCACAAAAGCTATCAGTAATTTGAAACGAGGCAAAGCGGCAGGACCCGACGGAATTATTCCGGAGGTGTTTAAATATGGGGGTGACATACTAGTTTGTAGATTAACTGAGGTACTAGGCAAAGTCTGGGAATCAGAGACAGTGCCATCAGACTGGGGTAAGTCACTTATTATACCGATATTCAAGAAGGGAAACAAGTCCTCGTGTGATAATCATAGGGGGATCAGCCTAACGAACATAGTCTCTAAAATCCTAGGCTCAGTAATCATGCATAGACTAAGCAGAACTCGGGAGGAACAGACAAGGGAAAATCAAGCAGGCTTTAGACCAGGTAGAGGGTGCATAGATCATATCTTCACTCTTCGACAGATTCTAGAACATAGACACACTTTTCGGCGTCCAACAATTGTCATATTTCTTGACTTGAAGGCGGCCTTCGACTCCGTGGATCGAAAGGTACTATGGCAATGTCTGACTGTGAAGGGAGTGCCAAGAAAGTACATTGCACTAATCAAGGCACTCTATTCAAACTCACGTAGTCGTGTAAGGGCTTATGGGGAATTGTCATCTGAATTGGTAACAACCAGTGGTGTCCGACAGGGATGTCCACTTTCCCCATTTCTGTTTAACTTCATCATAGATATGCTAATGGAAGTATCCTTAACTGAACGTAGTGACTTAGGAATCGACTTGTTACCAGGGAATAATCTTATGGACTTAGAATATGCAGATGACATAGTCCTGTTAGGGGAGGATGCTGACAAAATGCAGAGTCTTCTGAACACCTTGAGCAGCAATCTTCGTATGTTTGGCATGCGATTCGCCCCTGCAAAATGTAAGATGCTGCTACAGGACTGGACCACGTCAACCCCTAACTTAGTGATAGGGAGTGAAGTGATAGAACATGTTGACCACTTCACCTACTTGGGAAGTTGTATTAGCACCAACGGACTGATTGGCGATGAAATCTCAGCACGGATCCGAAAAGCTCGAGCTGCTTTCGCTGACTTACACCATCTCTGGCGTAGGCGTGACATCCGGTTATCAACCAAGGGACGTGTGTACTGCTCATCAGTTCGCTCCGTCCTTCTCTATGGCTCTGAAACATGGCCAATACGCGTTGAAGACATGAAAAGGTTGACTGCTTTCGATCATAGATGTCTGCGATCTCTGTCTCACGTTAGGTGGTTTCACAAGGTAAGTAATGTTGACGTTAGGCGTAGAGTGTTGGGCAAAGAGGGAAAATCAATCGACGAGGCTATAAAGTTACATAGACTAAGATGGCTAGGTCACGTGCTGCGCATGCCTAACCACCGCCTCCCCCGACGGGCATTGCTAGCTGATATAGGTTCAGGTTGGAAAAGAGCCAGTGGTGGCCAAACAAAAACATGGCCTCATCAATCCATGAAATCCTTGACAGTTAAACTGAGTCAGGTAGGGAGATGCAGACTCCCGGGTTGGGGCCCTCGGGACTCTAGGAATCAATGGCTGGAGACAATAGGTGACATGGCTCAAAATCGTTGTCAATGGCGCAGATGTATTCAGTCTCTGTAATCTTTCATATTCCTTTCTACCATTACCCATTCTGTTTCACTCTTATACTTGTCAAACTCTATTGATTCTCTTCACTCATCTTCTTGTCTACCTCTGTGTGCTATTTGGAACGTGGCAACTCGAACTGCAGCACTTCTGTACCAAGTTCTATGTTGAATCCAGACAGACAGACAGACAGAGGAGGATAACAAGTAATCTCAAAATTCTATTTCAATTCAAGCACATCACAACATTCTAAAAAGTAATTTATTATGACTATAAAAACACTCATCTTATTTCCCATCTGATTGTATTTGATCGATGACACTCGTATTATTATTATTTCTGAATGTACATTATCTCATATTGATTTTTAGTCTAATATCTAATCGATTCCACTCATGTATATAAATGAAGGAAAAAAGTTGTGTGAACTGTGCCTTGATATGATTATGAGTGGCAATAATTTGTGCTCGAAATGTGGTCATCAGTTAATATTACTGTATAACAAACACTGTGTGATTTATCAAAATAAAATCTTATCCATAATAGAGTTATGCTCTGCCACAGTGTCCAAATTTTATACTTATATCAAGGATAGTATTGACAGAAAGTTTGTCAACAACATCTAGCTGTTATACTACTATAATATACATTATTTTAAATGTGACATGCGCGTATCAAACACCTTGTCTTATTATAGTCAGAAGAAAATAGTTGAAAAATTAATTAAACCAAATATAATTAAATCATCGGTTTAAAAAAAAACTAACTATACTTTTATCTGTGTAACTGATTAGATTATTAGCACCACTAAGTAACTTCAACTTGCATAAGAAGTACAAATACCAACTACTTTATGTAGACATAAATATGAAAAATACTCTCTGACTGCTGCTACACTAGCACAGAAGTTGTTCTGAAATAGGACACAGTGTAAAAGATAAATTATCACTTTGTCAGCAGAATGGCCAGTACAAGTTTTACGTGACTACTTCAACAGATTTTATTATATATATATATATTACTTTGTGTCATTCACTTTGTCGCTTCATAGAAGTTTGTGTTGATATTTATGTTGAGTCAGCACTTGCTGACTCTGTTGGCAGTTTAAGTGGCCTCCAAAAAACCATGTCATCACTACTAAACATACCACAAGTACCTATAGAACGAAAAAGAATATCATGTCGCCTTTCATAACTTTCGCATAACCCCCCCCCCCTATAAAGAGATATACACTGAACATTCAGTCATATGAAAGTCTGGTTTTTGCTTAATTGAAAAGCAGAACAGTAGACAATAGCCTTACGACGTAAAGTTCTTTACTTTCATATATAACAAATAGTCAAGAGAAGTATGCTTACTACAAACTATAACAGAATAAGGCATTAAGAAGACAAATTTCGCGAGATGACATCAATTTGTAGTTTCTTTACAACGGTTTTACAACTAACATGGTTAACATCGTTATTATGGACAAATCGGATTATCAAAATAAAATGGATGATACCCTCAAAGAACAGTCCATATTTCTGGTGGACAATGCTACTGATAATGTGCTGCTTGTGGAAAAGCAGATCAGTCGTCAGCTTCAGATTTTACTGATGCATGGTTTTATAAATGAAAAACTTTATAAACAACTTAAAGCAATTGGGTCACATACTCCCCGGCTTTATGGCCTTCCGATGATCCACAAAACTGGGAACGCACTGAGACCCATATTAGATATGTCGAATTCTCCATACCATAAAATCGCCAAATTGATTACAGAGGTCCTTACGCCTGTAAGAGACTCGTTATCAAATTATTCTGTAAAAGTTCAAAGAAAGCCATCTTTATTAACCTACCATTCAAGGGTGATCAGATTATGCAGTTGACAGCTAGCTCAAAGACTTCAGTCAGCCATCAAACGCACATTCTACGCCGCGTCTCTTTTTCTCATTTGCCGAACATTTCTGATCCCTGTATCTACGATTAGAGGACGAAATTCTGTGAATTCTACTTCAAACTCTATCTACAAGTTCACCTGCAACTGCGGTGACACCTATATAGGTAGAACCAACAGAATGTTCCAATGTCGTCGTCGAAAAGAACATGTTCCAAAATGGATGCTAAATTATATAGAAAGTCCCAATGCGATTAATCTGAATATAAATCCAGCATCATCCATTGCAAAGCACTTATTAATGTCAGGTCACAAAATCAATATTAATGACTGTTTCACAATTATTTCACATAACTCTAATTCAAGACTATTGAAGGTGATGGAAGCACTTTGGGGGATTAATCACATACAGCCTAAATTCTGTATACAAAAAACAATAGACTTCAATCTTCGCCTACCATGGACAACATGACCTATCTAAATATGATTGGTCATTAGTATGTACTTTCGTTTTTTATTTAACTGAGTAATTATCATGAACTTTATTATTGTTAACCATGTTAGTTGTAAAGCGGTTGTAAAGAAACTACGAAATGATATCATCTCGCGAAAAGTGTCTTCTTAATGCCTTATTCAAATTTATCAAAGGGACTAATTGTTATAACAGAATAACCTTTGGGTTTCATAAAGTATTGAAAATACTACACTTCAAAGCATCTGAAAAGGGGAAATTTATGAATAGTATTACAAACAATTGAAAATGAAAAAATACACCCTGCAGATGCATAATATTATTCATGAAAGTATTTCTTACCCCTTAGCTGCAGACCATCGGACATGGGTATATTGACTGCGCAGTGAACCAATCAGGTTATCAATAACTTCTGCAACTTCATCTATATTAGAGATTTCAATATCTCCATTTGATGTATAACCATCAGAAATATCAGCTGTGATAGTAGTAGTAGTAGTACTTTGGCCATTTCCATTTGATAACGGATTTGCAACTGATAAACCATTTGAGTTGTTAGGAGAATTCGCTTTTTTGTCATGATCCGCTAAGCGTAAATCTAGGTTGTCCTGCAATGATCGACATCCTCGATAGTACCGCCATGTTGTGTTCAAGGGTGGGCAAAATAATAATCCAACTCTCTGGAGAACTTTTGTTTTAAGATGACAGATAAGAACTCCAACAAAGCCATCTTTTGACATTTGAAGTATTGCATCCAGTAGACTATTAGCATGTGGCAGAAGTTCAGTACGGCGGCCTAGTTTGCATATATTAGCTATACATCTGAGAACGCCACATACTAACCTTTCATTCTCAATAACAGTAACTAGAATTGGTGTTTAACAATAAGCGAAACATTACAATAGAACTATTCAAAAAGTAAAATATGAATGTTAAATATGTACATAAAGCTAACCGAGAAGTAAGCAACAATACAGTTAACACGACAACCTCCAAAGAATGACTTCAAAAAAAGACAGATATTTATGATCAACGCAGACAGACAAATAGTGAGTATACAAGTGTGTGTGCATATGTAAATCAAGTTGAAACAATGTTAGAAACAATGAACAAAAGAGAACAGAAATGCACTGATGTTAACCAGCAATATTAAGTAAAGTCTGTCTGTCTGTCTGTTATCGACATAGAACTTTGCACCGATATGCACTAGTTCAAGTCGCCACACTCCCTCTTTGTAGCATACAAAGCAACAGAAGAAAGTAGAAGAAATGCATAATAGAGACAGTAAACAGAGGTATGAGACAAAGGAATACTAATAACGAAGAACAAGACAGTTCCACTGGTTTTTACCGTCCTCAGGACCCCAACCAGGAAGGAAGTCTACACCTTCCTATGTGGCTGGATTAAGCTAACTGTTGTGGAGTTCACTGACTGGTGAAGCCATTTTTTGGTTTGACCGCCGCTAGCTCTTTTCCAGCCTGACCCTATGTCAGTCAGCTACCATTGCTAACAATATTAAGTATAGACGGGGAATAAGCTAGTGAAAACCAGTAAAGCTATTACAATTACACAATCAAAAAGATGAGTGAATCAGCATGGTTGTAAACGACTTTCAACCATTTCATTGAAAGTCTCCAGCCATTAATTGTTAGCATTCCAAATACCCCAGTCAGAAAGCCTGGCAACCAATGAAAAGATTTCATTGATTGACTAAACCAACAGTAAATCATTTTGCCCAACATTGTGTAACACACATGTCTTAAACTGTCATTTCGATAGACAAGGCTTTACAACCTCATAGGCTGACTTTCCTTACTTAACACCAAGCCTAACCACATCGCTACTGAACAGACTGATGGGCATCATGTGAGCGACTGAAAACATGCATGAAACAAATGAGTTGAGCTCTTAGAAATAATGACCTATAGGAAGGCTAATTGAACTTGAAGGGTTTTTCAATCACTTTCGATTCGCTTTACCCACTGAATAGACAAGTTTCTCTTTTAAACTTGCCCATTTGGTTTATTCCTAGCCTCTCACGTCAACTACCAATGATAATTAATCAGAATAACTAGTACGTTATATAAAACCCTTTATTATGATTCATACAAGTCGATTGTTTCGACAAGCAAGACACACGATATCACGTGAAATCAACGAAAAGCAGTTATTAATAGTGTTATTAATAATGTGTGTAGAATCCTTACACCTCCTTTTCTTATGTAACCTGTTTAGACAATTGTATTATACTGCTAATGTTTAGCGCAAAAACAGCCATCTAAGCAACAACCAATACTGACCGTGTTCTTGATCAACACAACACTGTGCTTGAGAAAAGTAATATACTTGTGCAACGCATTTCAAATATTTAAACCAAATAAAAGCAAATGTTTGTGCAAAATGATCTGAGTCAATCACTTATTTCATCGGATTCGCCTCAGCTGCTTACTATCTAAAAGTTGATTGTGTAAGTGGGTACAGAATTTCGTCATACCTGCAATAACCAATATGATTTTTGTTAACAGAGACACATGTTAATAAACAACGTTCAGAAGTCCCACTTATCTATGAAGGAGGTAAATGTTCAAGTAAACTGCGCCAGTATTCCGATTTTCTCCTTTCACCAGAGGAAGGATTCAAACGCCTACTACTAATAAGCATCATGGATATACAATTCCTATCTAATAATAGCCTCTATCGTCAAATATATAGTGTTGCTATGGGCAGTCGACTAGGCCCCGTACTCGCGAAAATCTTCATGTCTGGTCTTGAGATGACAAAGCTGAAAAGTGCGATCAGTGAGACAACTTACCGTTTTCGATATAATTGACGACACCTTCACATTATTTGAAGGTGAAAATCATACATCTCATCTAATTCAACTGTTCAGTGATATGCATGAGAATACTGACTTCACAGTGGCACATAAAATTGATGGAAAGTTCCATTTCTTCGATATTGTCATACAACGCTTGGAAGATCGGAGTCTGCAAAGAAACATTCATCCAAAAATTCACACGGAATGGATTATATTTAAGTTCCAATAATTTTTGTCCAATTAGCAACAAATGAGCATTAGTCAAAACTCTACAGAGACAGAATATGCTTCATAGAAATACCGGGGAAGAACTCTTAAACATTGAGCAAGCTTTGAAATATAACGGTTATTCTCCAAAATTCATCAGAAAGTATGGTAGATCTGAAGATCCAAAGGTGAAGCAACCTATAGTAAGAAACATCCTCACTGAAATCGATTGCAGGAACAATCAACAGAAGATTCAAAACCTCTCTAGCCACAGTCTATCCTGCCAAATCGATTTCCGTTTATCGAACAACTCTTTGGTGCAATCAAAGGTTGATAGATACCCTTCCCATGTTAACTCTGAGCCAAGAAAACTACGTGTATCTGCAGGAGAAACCACATTGGGAGAACAGACAAAATGCCATATCTCATATTCGGTGAATATGTACCAAATATTTTACGATTCAAGGGAAAAAATGTTTGGAGCAGTGCTATTGCCAGATATCTTGTTAGTACGGGTCATGAAGTGGACACCCTGAAATCCCTCAAGATTAATAGACAATATTCGCTGAAGCAATCACTATCTAATCGCTAGAACCTGACTTCTGTGTTCTCCTACTAGTCTTTCCATACCTTGGCGACCCAACGTCTAATCTCTTCGTCTCAAATGATTGTACCATATTTCGCTTCCATCCCCTCTTTTTTTACTTCGATGTAATTCAGTCTTTTCATTACAATGAACTAAGTTAAACTCACTACAGTATTACTCATTACCAACTTCTCTCTTGTTTTGACTGCAAATCAAACCATTAGTTTTGCATATTTATATTTTGACTTCCTTCAAAAGTTATATGAGTGGAACTTCTAAACATTGTTTATTAACATGTGTCTCCGTTAATCAAAATCATATTGATTATTGTAGGTAGGACGAAATTCTATACACACCTAAACAATCAACTTTTAGATAGTAAGCGGCTGAGGAGAATCCGATGAACTAAGTGATTATTATTCTGTACAAACATTCGTTTTTTTGTCTTTGTTTAGATTTATAAAGAGGAATGACATTTCAAATAATCTGGCTACATACTTACTTCTGATTTCGATTTATGGGAAAACTGATAATTGTAGGTGGTACATATGACAAAAACGATAAGGTTAAAACGGCCTTGAAAACTTTTGCAAATACTGTCAGGGAATAATACTGAAATGTTATACATTAATAAAATTAAGCCCATTTGTTTGTAAAAAGAAATAACTCATCGTTTCGCCTAGTCAATTTTGGTATTGTTTAGTTATATTTCGTTGTTATCATACTCCTGAATCTTCGATTATTTCTACTTGAATTGATCTATTTCATTTCGATTCTCACTCAAACCAATATGTTAAGTGCCACCTACTTCAGACTGGGTGATTGAATCTTCACACGATGAATGTGACTCTTAGCCTGGGACTCGTCGAACAACTATGCGAATATGTCGACCAAACTACCACTCAAGAATTTCCTTCCTAGTACTGAATCTGATAAAGTTGCATGGACAAATAGATAACTCTCAAGAGCAATATTATATATATGCATAGACCAGCAGAGCTGCTGTTCACTGGTATAACCACTCAGGCTTGAAGAAGATGGCCTCATTTGAACTATATAACCTACACTAATGTTAGCGGATATAGGGTCAGACTGGAAAAAAAGCTAGCGGCGGTCAAACAAAAACTTGGCATCAGTCAATGAAATCCACAACTGTTGGTCTAAGCCACGTAGAAAGGTGTAGACTTCCAGGCTGGGGTCCTCGGGACGGTAAAAATCTATGGTTGGAAACAATTAGTGACATGGCTCAAAACCGTTCTCAGTGGCGCAGATGCATCCACTCCCTATGACTTATGATCTTCAATGAAACTGTTTTGTATTTCTTTATTACTCCTTTGTCTCACACCTCTGCTCACTGTTTCTATTATGCTTTTCTTGTACTTTCTTCTCTTGCTTCGCGTGCTACACGGAATGTGGCGACTTGAACTTCCGCACATTTGTGCATAGTTCTATGTCGAAAACAGACAGACAGACACTAATGTTTAAAATCTTGCTGGCACTTTTAAGTAAAGTAATTGTTAAATATATTTGAAGAACTCAAAATAGCAATACAAATTACACCTACCATCACACTTAAGGCTTTTTATTAGCCATGAAACTATCAAAGGAAGCTGAATATGAACTGCATCTGGTCTTGTGACGGTGCGGGCAAGGAGGTAGGCAGCGGCCTCTTGAGTTCTTTCTTCTTGCGCCAAATGTAATTTTGCCAGGTCTACTACACGCTCAATAATAGGCTTCTTGTCAGGTAAATCCAGACGGCTCAGACTGAATGGGACCATAACCAGAATTGATAACCACAGAAGAAGTATATAACGAGTCTTCCAATTCTAAATAAATGTCCAGGACCTTAATGTAAAGACACTTTCATACCTCTACAGTTCCAACCTTTTGTTCCATGAGAAGACTTAGATTTGGTTCAATATCGTCCACTGAATGTGGCATTAGACGAATTATAGCTTTATATCCACGGGTTTTAGTCATTTGATAGAGAATCCTGAACGCGAAATGGAAAACCTCCGGCTTTGAAACGGAGCAGTGTACTACATCCAGACAAGCTGATATCATTCCCTCGAGATGAGGATCAAGGAGGTGAGGCTGCTCTTGGTAAAAATTAAATATTTCTAACTATTATTCCGGAAAGTAAAAAGTACGTACCGACAAGTTTATCCTCCAAGTACTCTTTTTTACTAGAGTCTAGTACTTCGGTTTTTATTTTTGATATTAACTCCATGACTTCATCATAATGCTTAAATTCAGTGAATACAAAGCACTGTTTGTCGTCAAACACATCACCATTGCTGGTGCACATTTTTTCCGATTTCAGTTAGCCGCGCTAGCTTAGCTATTATCGTTACCTGAAGGACAAAAAAGTTTCAACTATTATTTCTAATAATGTGCTGGGAATATTTCGAGAGTTGCTCAGCTATATAAATACTCGCAAAGTTAAGAAATAGCAACCTGAGGGAAACGAACACACTAATGACCTTCAACAAGCCAATTTGGGTGAGACAAGGTAAAGAGAGTTAAATATCCATATCAGGGAAAGAAAATTGCAAAGAGATGAATCCTGCCTAGAATCCTGTACCATTTCCAGCATTTTTGTCAGTGTAATCCTTCTTACCTGGTTTCACTACGCTGCTATGATTGCGCTTCGTGTCATCAGTTTATCGTGCTCCTGTTACGCGAAACTCTATAAGCTCGCCACAAACAGCTCCTCCACCCAGTCGATTATTATCAGGATTAACAGGGCTGACTGAATTTTTCTATGAGAACCGTGGATTATAACATGGCAACACAGGAGTACTGACGTAAGTCCTGTGCTCTAGAAGAGTACAACCAGAGCTGCCACCGAATGCATTTGGAGGTATCTTAAAGTGGATGAAAGAATTTCAACGTTCTGTTTAGCCGAAGAATCAATTGGAAAATCCTGCCATGAACAATCCATTCTAAATGCTAAGTTGGACGTTGCGAGTCATTTTGCAATTAATACACTTTTTACATAACCTGCACGCTACATATGTAACATTTGCATACCTTATTTTGACTTGGTTCTTAGCATATATCTCTATTTTTTGAATAGCCTCTATGTTAGTGGCGCACTTCGCTTTCGTGTATTGATAGGCTCAACAACAGTGCACTGTTAACAATTAGGAATTTGTTTGAATGCTTCCAAAGTTAGACTGTGAAGAATACGCCTGCTCTTGAAGTGTCTGAGGAAACCACGTTTTGTTCCGTCCCATTCTTTCAGGTTATCCTTTGATCCCATCTTAATGCGAATATTCTTGACTGCCTGGTAAACTTCGTCCTAATATGCCTGACAGTAGAGCCTCCAAACGGAGTTTTTGAGGTAATTTTGCATCATTTTATATTATTTGATGTTGTTCACCATTAGGTTGTGGATGAATCAAACTCATCAATTCAGTAACCTGCTCTTTTATGCAAAATAACCACTCAAATTATCCACGGGCAACGGCTACTTACGCAGAAGACAATTGTTAGTTGTTAACCACTTTTGAAAGGCCGGTGGTGGGCGAGTGAGATGAAGTCGAATGAACGGAAAGGCACGCATCATTCACTGTTGCGCAGTGTGCGGAGGAGCTCAACACACACAAATAATATGGGGTTTAACTTATTAACCTTCTCAATTTCCTAATCATTTGCAGCCTCTGGGTAATCTTACGGTTCTGTTTTGGAGAAACCCTATGCGGAATAGATACACTGACGGCACTGCAAATTATTTAGCTCATGCTGCTGAAAGAACTTACCCCAGCAACCAGAGTAATCTACTTGGGGGAACATCCCGTATAATGCATGTTAACTTGTTAGTGCTGCCCACACCACAGTTGAGGCACTTTAAATGTTAGGGTCACACAATAGGCGCCCAGAGAAAAATATTGATTATTTAGAGATCAAGCAGCAAGAAGAAAATTCATAGGAACTTGTGTGCGTCGGAAGGTGAATGCTAGGCCGTAATGGCAGTAAATGCTACCTATGCTGTTGGAGAAAACTAACGTTGGAAATTACTCTTCTTCTTTACTGGGCATAGACTACTCCAGATGGACCCGGGTGACACCGGCAGCAGGCGGTAAGGGTGTGTTTCTTCGAATTCGAGGTTGCGGTAAGTGAATTCGGAGACACCCCACAAACTATCAGGGAGGTGAGTGCAGGGTTATACTAGACTTTTTGGTGTGATATGATAGCTTTTATGCTCACACGTAATATAAGCATGTCTTGTTATCCATAAGCTATTCTCCAGGACATTTTGTCACTTACTCATGTAGGTTAACATTAGCATGCTACACACAATACACTGTTGAGAAGCTCAGAAACCGATAAGGTCTGCTGCATTTAGAACTGTACTCTGCTTAGGTTGGAGTTGGCTCATAGTTCATCTAGTACTCGATTACTGCACAGCCAACTTCATTTTAATGAATGAATACGTATGATCCGTGTTGCAAGTGTCCAGCACAATTATATGCGATTCCCATTATGCCCCCATGAAAACCTTACTTGGAAGGATAGGGGAATAAAAATACAAAGTCGGGCCAGTTCGGTTAGGACCTAATGTGACTTTCCTCTTACGTATTTTATACGGCAAAATGTGAAGCAGTTATGCCATAGCTTTCAACAAATCAGTTACATATATGATGGAAAGCAAGTGTTAACCCCATAAAGACATGTAATGCGGGCAATTATATAGCATGTCCCATTTTTAGGTGGCGCCAGCCGCCACACCTTGTTGGCATTTGAGCGGTCTATTTGATTCGAGTTGTCAGTCGTCCAGGTAAGTGAAGCTGATGTGATTTTGACACTTATTTGGCTCTTATTGGGTGAATTTACATAGGAATTGTTGTTTGATATTACCCCTTAATATGTGCGTATGTCTTGTGTGGCAGGACGCTTAAATATGTAGTTCGTGCAATGATTACTTGGTATATCGAGCATGCTTTGCATACATTTTGAAGGCGGGATTTCGGAAAACTTCTTTGAAACTTGCTGGAAACCTGTACTTGGTTGTGAATTTTCCGAATAGCTGTTGCATAGTACCTATTCTTGTTACGGGAACCTAAGAGTACGGCTGATGCTGAGTTAGTGCTTCCGCACTTCTGTGTGCTTTGATTGCTAAACTTCAATGGAATTTATAGAAACATTCAAATATTAATGTTCATATATGGGCAGAAATAACATTATATTCTACGAACACTTGCAAAATTGGCTATTTTCTCCAGAAAATATAAACTGGTTTAAATGCACACTACAACACGTTCTAGTACTTTGTTGGATTTGAGTTACTTAACCATCGTCCTGATCAGATACGTAAGAACAACTGAGGCGTTCGTCACTTTGTCCTATTATCGCGTTTGCTTTCATAAACTTCCCTAGTTTTGGTGTATACTGAAGCTACATTATTTGCGTTTGTACAACGTCAATTGACATAACTATTTCCCGGCAATTTTTTCGAGCTATGTGCATAAGGTTTAGGAACGACTACTATATGCTCTTCTGTCAAAAATATTGACTAGCGTAATCGCACACTAACGTAAAGTTCCAGTAATTCTTACTGGGTTAGCTCGTTAATGATTATATTAATGGCGATATTCATATCAACATCCTGTGAACACTTGTTTTCCTCTTTTTAGCTACTCGGTAATTCTGGCGAACTCATGGGGTTTGTTGCTGAAGAAAGTTGTTTCCAGTATCGCTGATATTCTATTCTATGTCAGGTCAATAATAAATGTATGCCTTATTCATCATATGGATATTCATCTTATTAATATTAAATGTTAGCTTTTGCGAATATTGTGAGCCACAGAGTTTGGGGGAATAAGGTTATCTGTTCAACTGAGATGCACATCTGGAGAGACGTATACTTCTGAGTTATATCGAGGTTATTGTTCACTCCATTGTTGTTATCGTCAGAAATTTGCGAGAAAACATTAGTACTTACATGTGAGGAGAATAAAATATAACGAAGTATATCAATGCTGTCAAATGTCCAGTAATAAACACACGAGATTCAACATTGACCCTAGAAGACATTAAGGAACTATGAGTTATAAACAACGCGAAAAAACCAGAACACAGATTAGTGACATTAAGAACAGCTTATTCATACACCAATAGAAAGCCAACGATTAGGTAACTGCACACAAAAGCTAAGAATAACAATTAATCACGGTAATGCTTCCGAGAGTTTTTCCCCGTCCTTTGACGAACAGCGAACGATGGAACGATGACTGCTGGATTGATGACTCTGCGAAAAATATGGAGGAGTTGGGTTTGAGCAAACAACCATGAATTGATCGTTCAATCTTCAACTACATTGACACTCCCCGGCAAAAAAGGATCCATCCCTTCTTCCATCACGACCAATACACGTTGACTTGGATGCCATTGCGAGAACCTGGGCCACACGAACAAAGCTGAAATGGAAAACAAACAGCAAGGCCAACACACCACAGGTATACCCACAGCACAATCACACTCACCGACGACGACCTACACCTTCCAGTCAAAGGCATCCTCTTGACATCTTGCAACACAATCACCACTTCCTAGAATGACTCTTGCAGAGAGCAACGTGACCATAGCACCACCTCATGATACTCATCACACATCTTCTTATCTATTCATTACCAATTACCACTGCGATCGCTTGTCACTCATCTTGCCTCAGTTCTAGTAACGGTGACGTATGCAAGCCTCAGTCGTCTACACTCTTGCTCCTCGGCGTGTGGGACCACAGCCTAAATAGAAACATTCATTCTCAATCATCGATTCCACAGCTAGTACTTATCTCCGTATACATGTCATTCTCAGCCCTAGCCTCCCCGGCGTATACGACCCATCTGCTGTCTCTGACATCAATCAATTCATTCACGGATGTAGAAGACTAGAAACAACTTCAGAAGTAAGCACGACGAAAAACTTAACAAAATTATGCATAATAACAAGATACGGAAACAACAAGTGAACACAGTGAATTCAAAAACACCAACTGATATGACACACCACACGTATATACAAACAGTGCACATTACCTCGCGAATCATGTCATGATGCAATTCCTTTGAAGAATTGCAGGACTTACACCAGCATGCATGCAACCATTATCAGGCTGACGATCGTAAGTCGAATAATGCCCGGACACAAAGAAGATTAAGCAACAAATAGATGAGAGATGATACCCAATCTATATATATACAACATGAGCATATGTACAAATCAATTCGCTAATTAAGATGAAATTAACCCCGCCAGATACTAGCTTGCTAGGCTACTAGCTTACTAGTCTTCTCGCCGGTCCCA